GTGAACAGGCGCTCCTCCACTCGTTTTGCTCGGCATTCTCAATGCAGTGAAAGCTAACATTGTATACACTGCAGCCAAACTCGTTTACGGAAAAACACTCTCAATTTCAGGAGAATCCGTGGATTCTTGATCTTCTTCAACGAATGTGGATCTGAACTCTAACAAGATCTGCCTAACAAACGCGACAATTTCAGCTGAACCTGTCCCCTCTCCATTGCAGTCAACTAATGTTTTTTACAACCTGTTTTATAACATAGTAAGCATACTCTCGTACGTCACGACTCACTTCAACGACCTCTTGAAATATCAAATAGAGGTCTCTTCAACGCTCTTTATCGTAAGCTTATATACTATCTCATCGATGAAAACGGAACTAATAATAACGTCATTCAGTATTAGGCGTCTTAAACTGAGTTTTAAGAAGAGGGCCTTAGTAAGGTTGATTTTCTTCCTGTGCCCTTGAACCAAAAACAAACATAGGTTTTTCTAATATGCTCATATATACGCGCATATTATTTCTTTTCCAAATAAAATCATCGCGAGGAAACTGTTCTTACGCTCTTTCATGTGAACAGAAGTCATGTATTCTGATGTATTTTTCGTTTTCGCCCATTTTGTCCTACTTAATCACGTACGAAGGTATTTTGACATGCACATACAATTCTTTAGTTCTTCTCCAGAATGGCTAGAAGGGATGGAAAATCAGACAGAAATACGATGAATAGAAATTTTTAATGCACATTTTTCCTTGCTGTATTGTGCCACATGGCACCTTATATTAGGAAAAGACGATCAGATGTTGCTAAGTATATAAAGCCATCAGAAGAGTTCTTACCAGCGAAAGGCTCGTTAGGTTTAAAGTTTTAGCTGGCCATGTCTTAGGGTTGTGAGGCAGTAAATACACTTCCAAAGACACTAGTTCTGTAAGTCTCCAAATTTGATGTTGACCTCATTGGTTTTACTGAACACGCCTAACTGAAGACGCCCCACCACACATCCGTACCAGATCACGGGTAGGTACCTTATGCAATGCATCCTTTGCAACCTCTAACCAGTTAAGATAAAATGTTTCACAGTGATGGCGTTACAAATATAACTTCGAATTCTCTTAATTTCTGACTTTTGATTTGATTGAGTTGGTATCTTTCGATTATAAAGGGGTTTCGTGAAAAGCGATGTCAAACTTGAATAGCCCATGACAATTTTATGACCATACAGGTGTTAAATTCAAACCAACGTCTAACTATAGACCAAATCAATTGTGTACTAAGCTAAAAAGAGACTTGTGCTAAAAAGACATACTCAGCCTTTTAGAAAGCTTCAACAGGAGAGGCATAGGAAAAGTAGGAATGATTTGATCCTGGTGTATAATGTCTCATGTAATCCCCTTAAACTTATTAGATTACTAGATGATTTAAGTACTAGTCTAAGCCCAAAGTTTTATCAATCTACGATAGAACATGAACCGCGACCCGTAGGATTCCGTATGAACTTTTCCGTATTCAAAACCACTAAACTGTTGAAGTATTTTCTGCCACCAAAAACGCTCTCCTACCTTCTAAAGGTTAATCTCAATGAGCAAGTATTTGTAAATTCTAACGGCCAGAATTTGAAATCTGAACGACATAAATCTCTACACATAAAAGAACGCTCATGTTTGTTCTAAACGCACGGTTTTCACTTTGATATGGTATGAGAGTGTCAAGTCAAGACTTGAAGTAATATGGGTTAACCCTTAAAAAGTTTGCTGGTATACGTTATTGTACAGTAGCATTCCAACCGGATTTCTAGATTATCGGAAATTCAATAAATCCTTGGCCAGTATCCCTTAATGCTTAATTATGCTTTTCCTGCCTGTATAAAAGCGGGAGAAATTTTACCTATTCATTTATTAACATTTCATTTCAATACTTCAGTGAACATTGGTTATTGTAGTGATTTTAAATCCTTACTAGTATTCATTCTACTAGATCAGCTAATTACTTTTATTAACATCTTCTTGGTCTTATAGTCTGTTTTTACCCGTCTGACTATTACGATTGAACGATGATGATATTAATGAGATGCACATGTTGTATACTTATCCATTCTATCGACAAACAACGTTGATACAATTTATATTTAGGAGACGTACATTTTAGACATACTAATATCGAATGACAGCAAAAAGAGATGCGAGAGAGCATAAAGCATTAAAATTCGGTAATACATTGACTCAAAATAATGACTCGATCTTTTTATCATAAAAGGATACAGGCAAACATATTGATACATACAGTGACATGTGGATTCAATGTTTTTTGTAAGGCCAAAATAAAAATCACATTTTCCTTCATTTGCAACCCTTTATATATAATTACATTTATATTCTCTGTATCAACGGTATCAATGGTTGTACGCACACTGCCGCTCTGATTGAAAATGGACGCTGTACCTGCCGGCTGTAATTCTTTAATGGCCACAGCTTGTTGATTGGATATTATAGTAGTGTTATAACATCCTTCTAGGTAATTTTACACTACGTTGGAGTTTTGGCTCGGGTTTTTATTTGAATAATACCATAAGATTCAATCTTCCTCACTACATTGTTAGTGCGCACTAACAATGTAGTGAGGAAGATTGAATCAGTATTTTCAGTGTCAGTGTGTCAGTGTTTTCCCAGGTACCTTAGTCAAGAGATCTATTGCCAAATGTGGAAAATAATAAAACTGAAAGACATTTGGAGAACAACTCCTGATATTAGACTTAGGGATTAGATGTCGCCTGAGCTAGGTGTTTATTATCGCCGATGTTCATCACCTTATATTAGACACAGACACCCTAAGCTCCCACAACTTATTAGTTGATGTTCAGAAACGAACGCCTATCGATTCTTGTACGAAACTTCAAGTTCTGTTAGTTCAGTCGGACTGTCACACACATAGTATTAAAATCAACATCTTAGTAAACTATATTTTTGCCGATATTTTATCCAGGTTTCCAAAAATAACGAAACCATCCAACATTCGGTAGTACATCGAGTCATTACATACTATCATGCCTGCATACTCAGGGCCACATTTACGAAGGGGACAAAATCATCCTGCGATAACCATAGAGGGATTAGTCTGACTAACATGGCATCTAAAATACTAGCCTCAATAATTATCAGGCGCCTAACTAAGACTCGTGAACTACAAACACGAGGTCGTGGCTGTATCGAACACATATTCACCATTCGTCAAGTTTTAGAGCACAGACATGCTTATCGGCGTCCGACAATGATAGTTTTTCTTGGCTTGAAAGCAGCAGTTGACTCTGTAGACCGAGAGGTTCTGTGGCAGTGTCTGTCATTGAAAGGTGTACCTGAGAAGTACATAAACCTTTTGAAGGCTCTTTACTCGAACACTACCAGTCGAGTGAGAGCTTATGGCGAACTGTCATGTGATTTTACAACTTCAAGTGGTGTCCGTCAAGGCTGTCCACTATCCCCAATTTTGTTTAACTTCATTATAGACCTGTTGCTGGAAATAGCGCTTCGACTGAATTTTCAGGAATTGATCTTCTACCAGGAGGTTCACTTATCGACTTAGAATACGCAGATGACATAGTCCTGTTTGGTGAAGACGCTGGTAAAATGCAGAGTCTTCTGTTGGAACTCAGTAATAATGCCAGGATGTTTGGGATGCGTTTCTCCCCATCCGAATGTAAATTGTTATTCCAGGACTGGCCTGCGTCAACACCAGAACTAAGGATAAGGAGTGAAGTAGTCGAACGCGTGGACAACTTCACTTATATTGGAAGTCTGATCAGCCCTAATGGGTTGGTGTCTGACAAAATCTCAGCACGGATTCAAAAAGCTCGTTATTAGGGAATGATGGTAAATCAGTTGATGAGGCGATGAATCTTCATCGACTGAGATGGTTAGGCCATGTGTCACGTATGCCTGAACACCGATTACCACGACGCGCAATGTTGATTAGTGTAGGGGATGGTTGGACGAGAGTTAGGGGCGGCCAAACCAAAACATGGCATCAGTGCTTGAAGTCACTAACTTGTAGTCTGAGCCATGTTGGCAGATTCAGACTACCTGGTTGGGGTCCGCGTGACTATCGTAACCAGTGGTTGGAGACTGTGTGACATGGCTGAGAATCGATCACAATGGCGTAGGTGTATACACTCTTTATCTTCCCTTAAACCTTGAGATTAAGATTGCTTCATAACTTTCTTCCTTCCTATACTATATCCTTATATACAACCTATTTTTTATATACTATCACCACTAAACTAACTACTATGAATCCGGTGTTAATCTTTTTGTGCTAACGGGGTATGGCAACTTAGACCGATGCATATATGTGCCTGATCCTACGTTGTAGCTGACTGACATTTACGAATGGCAGTAACTGGATGAAAATAATTTATTTGTTCAAAAGGTATGATAAACTAAGTGGGGATTATAATAGAGAGACTGCTACAGCATCTTTATTTAGTCTTTCCTTTCATGGGAACTGTTAACCCAAGTCGCAGTGATTCCTCCTTTTCCCATTATGTATAGACTCAATATAATTTTATTGATGAATATGTATTCAGAAAGTGATCTTGCTCACAATGTCGCGTTTTCAGGCTATTTCGAGGTACAGGTTTGTTTTAAAAATTTAGATGTTTTGATGTCAGATTTGACATTCGGAACATTAGAGTTTAAACATTGAGAATGTACTACTAGTGATCCTAGTATCTTGTATTTTGTCTGAGTATCATACATAAGTCAGACTGACTGACTGAAGTTCGAGTACACTGGTTAAGCCACATATTTAAAGCATTCGCAACGGACTTTGCGTAGAAAAATACTTGAGTTCTTTTGTGTCTACACATAACCTGGTCTCATTCAAAACCATTATAGATGCAAAAAAAGCTTAACAGGATCATGTATTGCTTACAGCTATTGGGAATTTCAGTTACTTTTAAGTTATTAAATAAGCATATATTTCAAAAATCTATTTAAATTCAACGTTTTTAGAATGTCACAACTACGTTCGTCAACATCTTCAATACCTTCTGACCTTCGAGTTGATTTGAGTGAAATAGTGGAAGATCTGCTAGCCTTTCACTATGATGATATCTGTTCTTCGTTGTCGGATAACTCTGGTTTCCCTGGTCCTAATAGTTCTACTAGCACACTGGCAACTAGTGGATCAAATACTGCTGATCTGGTTCGTCGAATTAATCGCATACGTTCGAATATACAACGCGCTCAAGAAGCAGCCCGCAAACTTAGTACCTGTGATCTGGATATCCCTGCTCAAGAAAAACTACTGCTAGCTGTTGCGAATTCTTGTGTTACCAAACGCCACTTAGCATGTTTGTTAAAAACAGAGCTTGACAAGTTATCTACTAAGGACTCTGACTGTTACTTTGAGTAGTTCATTTTTCCAATTCACTTTTTGCTCATATTTACTGTATTATATCTTTCAGAATAGCAATTTGATTCATGATTTTTAAGATATTGAATCCATATTCTTAGTGCAAAATGTTTTCACTAAAATGCTTGTTGCATCATCTTACTCACTGATTGTTGTATATTGTTATATCACTGATACATTTGCTTACTATTATTACAGAGGATAGGGCAATTTTAAACTTCTCACCTAGAAATATGTCACTATATGTATTACTTTAAACTCAAAACTACCTAGAATGAGAAAACTTACGAAGTTTGTAAGTAATGGGTAAATTAGATGAGGATAAACACTGATTGTACCATTATGTTTACCCTTAGTAAATTTAGTGAACGAAATTGAGAATTGAAGTCTGATTTTCTCTGCTGAACTATATCTGTGACAATATGATGCTTTCAAATAGTGTTGTTTCCATCAAATCAAGTTGTTACTTATTTGTGATAAAAAATCAACAGACAAATAAAACCTAACGGAATAAAATGAATTCATATTATTCTGTACCACTTTTCGTTCTTGCTTTCCTTAAGGCAATATGCTCTCATGAATTTTACTAATGAATATGTTAGACTGAGTTGAAAGGTCACTTCTTGCAATGAGTTCACTGGGTATATTTTCAGGAGGTAGACATAGATTTTTGATGTCGTCGAAACACTCGATCGTCAGTGAATTTAAGTAGTGTGACTCAAGATTATAAGCTGTTGGATAGATTAACACACAGATCTTTTTAATATAACTTTACTACTTATGAGTAACTTATGATTACCCAATTTCCTTACTCTATTACTTATTTAGAAGATGAACTTTTTCTTCACTAGTTAGTAAATTATTATTTGTTCTGCTATATTGGAATGAATGTATACTTTTTTTTACCGAAGCTGGTGTTTATTAACTATGGAATCACATGGTTATGCTTTCAAGATAGTCTTCCGACTAAAGTTTGCAACGAACATTTTTTTCTTCTTTCAAATTTTAAATATCTCAATATTCCATAGCTTTTGTACGTTATCTTGACTTGTTTTTTTGTTTATTACTTGTTGACATTTCCAAGATGTGTTTATGTAAATTATGAAGAATTCGACCAATACACATTTGTGCCAGGATTTATATTGTTTCTGTTGTTACTTTTTATGAGTGGGGAAATAATGTTATATACTATCATGTGATTACAGCTTGACATAGTACTATATATACCTATCATTTTGTCAGTAAAATCTATTCAGTCTCACGAATTTATCCTGAACCCTGTGATTACGTTCTCAGGTCGATAAGTATTTCTTCTTTCCTCTATATCTCGAAGATTTGCCATTTGTCAATGTGAGTGATCGAAAAGTGTTGATCTCTCAAACATCTTTAACATAATTTGTTTTGTGCGCTATTGGTCTTTAATTTATGGGACACAGGTCAAACTGATGTATATAATGAACAAACTTTTATTATTTGATTTTCTAAAATTTGGAATAAGTTTCCAGGTGTCACTCAACCACTCAGGAATTCCAGCCACTACGAAGTGGTTCTTTGGAACTTTAACTTCCCTCAACAAATAAGCATACAGGAATCTACAATAGTCTTTGCAAAATTCTATATAAAGCTTAGTGATTCTACCCAGCTAAGGCTTTCTATTATTTAATAATATTTCAAAAAAGAACAGGATTTATTCCATAGAAGAACTTATTAATTTGATAGTATCCGACCATCCTCACAGATTTTTGTTTTCATACTAGCTTACCCAAAAATTATCTCTGAAATTGTTTTCCATAAATTTCTAAATGATATGTCGTTTTATATAGCTCATGATGAACTCAGGGATGCTTGTTTCCTCCTACTTATTTGTTTGTATTAATTTAGGTTGCTACCTGAGTTGCTTTGTTTATATTAGTTTAGCTATTTGTACAAATGGTAGGTACTGTCATCCTTGTAATCAACAAATACTACTTTGATTATAAACCTTGTGTTTTACCTTTTTTAACGAATTTCCGATCAAAGGTAGAATTATGCATCAATATCTTCTATACGGTCTTAATTATTTTACTAGGTTTTATATTCAATGACTCGTTTTTCATTGGTAAGAGAATGCACCTAAGGGTATGAACATTCATTGCTCTTTCTTAGTAATAACTTTTCATAGTTTACGCGTGAAGTATGATACTTTAAAAGGCCTGGGATTTTTACAGAGGGTTTTTTTGGAGAACCCAATTCGTATAACAAGTCAAAGATTGCACTGACATTTTCACAGCAATAAATAAACCGCTTAATTACAGCAAACAGCAAAAAAGTAAGACATTAGAAAATCTTGACTACATTTCTTCAATGTGCAAGACATACTGATTATTTGAAGTAAACGATGACCACATTAAAGATATTGTTACGTATGTAAAATATTTTTGAAGATAATTTCGAAATATGGCTGTGGTTTAAGTGCAAAACTTTAAACCATTACTTCACAAACTACAGGATCTTTACTTATCAAGGTTTAGGCAATAGCTAGTTGTGCTCATTCCTCTTGAGTAAGTTACTTGGTTCATAGTTCGAATTGGCTGCTTTAATTTGATACGTTTTCGTACATTACCCTTTGTGAATAAAAAAGTGTTACGTCAGGAAATCAATTTAAGTAACCTCACATAACCAGTGATAATAGATCTTTTAAGGTATAGAGATGTTTATTTACACTTTGTATATACTTGTCTATATTTCGCCCACTTTCACCAATTTAACCAAAATTTTATTTGTCTTTAACAGCTCACGATTGTCCCAGCTCATAACGTGCACATTAAAGTGTAATGGACTTATCTACAAATCCGTCCACTTTGATTGATAAAATGATTCGACTATATTGTATTGAAGACAAGATCTTCAGTGGGTTCCTATACACTGTAGACCCAAAAACAGGAAACTACGTGTTATTTTCACGAATGAATGAAAAATACCAGCCAACTATTGTCCGCCGTGAAGTAGTTGAGAGGTTAGAAGTAAGCAGTGACCTTCAAAATGTAATGTCTCTCTGTTTTATGACGTATATATATATATATATATATATATATATATATATATATATATATGCACAGCAGTTCGCTCTGTTCTACTTGACGCGTGTGAAGCAGGGCTATCGAGAATAAACTATATTTGTCGGTTACCCGTACTGGATCTTACGTGTTTTCAAACTACTGCTTGTGCGTTTTGGGACCACCGAGCAAGCAATGCTGAGGTTAGGTGTAATGCACTAGATGAAGATGGTAAATCGGACGATGAGAGTGTAAACATTCACTGACTGAGATAGTGGAAACATGTGTTGCGTATCCCCACCTACCCCAGCACGGGACGTCTGGTCTCGGAGTAGATTTAAAGAAAGCTAGGGCGAACCAAAACGTGGCACCAGTCCATGAAGTTGTGGACTGTTGGTCTGGGACATTTTGGTGGATGCAGGTTATCTGATTGTGTTTTGTGCGGTAAGTGCGATCAGTAGTCGGAAGGTTTGTGTGACATGGCTTGGGATCGTTCACAATGGTTCAGATGTGTTCACTCTTAATTTTCCTCTCGATCTTGAATCCCGGTATTCATTTGTATGTACTTTTACACGCTGTCTTTTCGAACCATATTTCCAATGTTCGGTCTTCCTCATCATCATTGCAACTAAATTATTTCTATCTCTTTAGTTGTCTTCATCTGATCGTGCTAATCAGGTATAGGAACTTAGGCCAACACACATATGTACCAGAACCTACATTGATAATTAATAACAGTGTAATAGTCAATCGCAGTTTTTTCATGAAGCGTTCACCTATTCGCTAAAGATAACGTTTGTTAGTACATCTAAAGTTTGATTATCTCTAAATTCCCGATCCACAGAAAGACATTTCCAATTTATATCATTATTTAAGTCCATGTTTTGATCTTGTCTTGTGTCTTTGTCTATAAAATAGCTTGGATAGCTGTTTTTAGGTAACGTTCTAGTAAGGAGGTCAAACTCTTTCTCATCACATTCCGGATTACAGTTCTCACGTATCGGATAACATAAACCGTTAACAAGTTTTCTATTACCGTTTAATTGTTCTGTTATAATTTGGTGTCCATCTCGTTGTGTAAATGAGCTGTAGCTGTGTATATGTGCCTGATTGAGCTATATAAGTTGGCTACTTGAACTTTCCATGTTTGTTCCGTATAGATAAGACGTTTTAGAGTTTGAATACTCTGTCTTGTTATAGACACATCGAAAAATGAAATGGTAGAACCCACTTCATATATATATATATATATATATATATATATATATATATATGAACATATGAATCTCCAATGATTTTATTGGAAGGGGAGCTAGTCATCTAAAAAGGTATTATTCAGGATTTCTTCAGATTAGTATTTTTATTCGGAAAAAATATCATTTTTTACTGGATAAGTTCTTGTGACTAATCTGTAACTGTCGGTTGGTTTGTTGTCATGTATTACTTTTTGCCACAATTTCAATTTCGATTGTTCTTGGTCATTAGAACACTTTATTTACGTTAAATTATTCTAGTTTGTTAGTTCCTTTTGTCTCATTGCGAATTATACCGTTTATCATTTAGTCAAATCCCATTCTGTTTGTGGACCTGCCATTTGCACAAAAAATCCTTAAGTATTTAGCCGTTAGCGATCACAATTTTGGTTTGCTTTACAAGTAATTCAAAATGTTTCAGGATTAAAGAAAGAAAACTTTCACGCAAAGCTTCCTATATGCCGTTTTTACGAAGAGAATATTTTAAACGAATGGTGATTTTTGTAGTAACTAGTTATAATTTTACCCATGAAACTAACATGTCTTTACTACCATATTTTAGTGGTGTCATTCATTTCACTGTCTTGAATGCGACGAAGTTGAAAGATAGTCAATAGTTAGAAAACTAAGATAAGAAATCAACCTTAGAAACACCTGATTATCTAAGTCATGTTTAGAAGGCCAAACAAGGTTAATACTGTCTTTTTAGATTTTAGAAAACAATGATTGAGAACCTCTAATAATGTTCAAGGTCAATCTTTACTGAAGACACCCATTAATTTCATTATTTTTTAATACGGGACAAATTCTTGTCATTATCTATGAGTTAAACAAATTTAGAATTCGTACAAATTGCATAACAGTCTTTCCTGATAATCATCATAATCTAAATGCTAATGATTATTGTTTTCCATGTTTATATTACTGAACATACATTTTGTTAACTTCCTTAAAGCTCCGGTTTATTACTATCGGTTTTTTGTAAGTTGTGTTGATATCTACCTAAAACAACAAAATATTTGTTATGTTCCAGATATTCACATATAAATTGTAAGTACGACATTGAAAGACTTATCACTGAATTAATGTGTCACAAACATGTGACATACTATCAAAATCCTTCATCTGATATCTCATTTTCCCCAAAAACTACTACCAGGCTTGTACTTATCCAAAATGACAATCCCTACGAGAAGTCTTGCTAATTTAACGCTATACTCGATTCCTAAGCTATTTTCGTAACCCCCAAGCTAAATCTACACAGCAACTTGAACACGAGAGAAATGGCGCAAAATATTTTACTCCAAAAGTTCATTTATGTACAGAAAATATAGGGTTTTTATAGCATTTTAGAAGTCTTTGGGTTTTCCTGAAAATTCTGCAATGCTACTAAACATAGTAGCAGTGTAGTATTCAGCCAATCAGAAACTCTACATGTGACTATTCACTTTCGTGATGTTTCTGGCAAAACTTCTAGTCAACGCTGATTGAATAAAATGCTTCTTAGTGTTCTTTGAATCTTTCTTTTCTTTTGCAATAAGTTTTCCGGATCATCCAACACCCTACATTCCTTAACCGTATGAAGGAGATCGTTCATATTTCTTTGAAATTTCTATTATAAATAAATTACTAAAATATTTCAATATTTGTTTTCCATTGTTATTGTTTTGTTTTATTCAGACACTTGATGATGAAATCCCATCAGAGTTAAGAAAAATTTTTGATTCTTTCACATCAATTGACGAATGTTCATTGAATACAAGTGAAGAAATGAAAACAACATCTTCGGCGACCAAAACATTAACATCAGATGAATTAATTTGTCAACGTGAAAAAATCATTCAACTATTTTCTTTAAATCATTTAAATGAAGTAAGTATAAATGATCGAGAAGAAGTAGTTATTCATAATGTGGTATTTATTAAACCGCCATACAATGTCGACTGTTGTTCTGGTAAAAATATGATTATATTGGATCGTGTTAAAAATTTAATCAGTAAATTAGAAGAGGATAGAAACAATGAAGTAGAATGAAGTACAAGGATTAGCTAAGAATAATTAATCATGAGACTCCATGTATAGCGTTTCTACATAAATGCTTAATGTATGTATAATTTATCGTTGCCTGTTTGTCCAATATTTTGTGGCATTTCTCCGTATTTAATATATTTGTGTAAATAACCTTAAATGATTGTATAACTGTACAGTTAAACATAATTTTCGTGTATTTAACGTTTTATTTTCAATAACTGTCTAATATTTCAACTTCATTTTGTATGTACAGATATATATTCACTGAATTTCATTTGTTTTGCATAAGTCAATTATCGATAAGCAGCGTAGAGCCCATCACATGTGTTCATCAGTTCAAGTTGTCATGCCACATCACCATTGTGAGATGTAATCATCCAGATAACTCAGAGCAGTAGAATTGATAAAAATATATCAGTAAAAGGTTAAGATACTACGACCCCCAAATGTCCTGGTACGGCCGAGAGTAGGTGGATGAAATAGGAGACTTAATGATCAAGTAGAACTAAGGTGTTGCTGTTCCGTAACATGAACAGAGGAAGGAATTTTCTCAATCTCATGCTTACACCGAAATACATTCCAAAGTATACACTGAGATTAATATGATCCCTCTGTAATTCTCACACTTAACAGAAATTTTCATCGTCATTTTAGCGAAATATCCTTCTTACTAGTCGTTTAATGCTTTCGAAATCTTTTATAGAGAACGAGGGCAGGTTTTTCAGTTACCATTATTTCTGACTTCAATGCTGTCTGGTCCTTTTCCTTTCCCTATGGCCTTGCTAATTTCGGTTCTAGGCGGCACCATAAAATGTGTAGGGAGATTTTGTCTGTTGCCTCTATGTCCTGTGGGTTCAGTGAGGCTGGTCTACACAAGAGCAGTTCAGATTGTTCTTGAATATCAGTGGTCGGTTTTCTTTGTTTATTATTAATTAGCCACTCTACTTTACGGGCGGCCTGCTTAAACATCTGGGCTACCTGTTTCCCGTCATCTATATATTTCAACAAGTTATCTAATATTGTTTGTTTTAATACATCATTATGGCTATTAAGCATATTAAGTTATAAAACTTGGAATTTGTTGCTGAGAGTTATTTTTAAAAAGTTGAGTTTGTTAGTATGTCTAGTTTTCCAATCCTTTTTTAGCTTCATTATCAGCTTTGTCATCACCAGGTGATGATCCGAATCTACATCATTTCCTCTCTTTGTTGTCACACTTTGCAAATCTGATTGGCCGGGTTCACTGTAGTGATCCGATGAAACCCATGTAGTTTTGTTTATGCATTTGTGGGAGAATATGGTATCACCTATGACCATGTTGTTCGAATCACAGTCTGTCATCATTCCAATTTCTTTTCTCTCAGTTCATGTCTCCTCAAGATGTCTTCGTATATCACTAACGTAGGTGACATATATTTATGATTGCGGTGTACATTCGTTATACAGGGATGGTGTGGCTCAGCTTATATCAAAGCTACGCCTCCACCTAATACTTTATCTGACCTATCCTTAGGTGATTCGATGTGGATGGCTTTAGTTGCTAAATGACAGGAACAAGTAATATTGCTGCCAAAACAAAATGTAAGAGTAAGGACAGATTGGAGGGGTGCAAGAAGAAACCAAAACTATGTTGGTCTGCTAGGGCGTGCAATAGATTGATCAGCGTCAGCCAACCTTGACCTCGATGATGTTCAATATACCGCCCAACGTTCGGCAGTCCGTTCTGAAAAGTAGGAATAATTCAGCTTGTGTCAAATGAATCTTTATCTATTTTGAGTGAGACAAGACTTTATATTGCCATCCCCACTGTTAGTACAGTAACCCTCCTGGTCTCCATTATTGCCCTGGTATTTCATGATCCCGAGTGACCCGTCGCTCCGATTGTCAGGAAGAGTACTGACCTCAGTCGAAACTTCTGATAAGTCTTGGCTTTGATTATGAAGCGTCGACTCTTGTGTATGAACAGCCTTTAACTCCCAGAAAAGTTAAGATGATTTACATAATTCTTTCTGCTAGTTATCCTTTGCATTTGTGAATTTTACCAGATGATTTTGTAAGCCCTACACTCAACTGTTACCCGTAATCCAGATTTGGGACGGACGGTAACGTAATAAGTTCCCAGAAGGAGTTCGTTGATAAAACGCGATTCACTAAATATGTTCAAAGTACGCGAGATTAAGAAAGTTTAGCAGATCTTTTATGTATTCTTGATCATTGCATTGAAGGAAGAAGTTTCTAATGCATTTTCCTTGTAGCTGTAAATAATTCCCCAAAATCAATAGTTCATTAAGTGTTCGACATTGGATGCTGACCACGTGTTTAAGTGGACTTGTTTAGCTGAAGGCTTTCGGTCATGCATCCGCACCAGATCACGTGTCAACTCGGCGTGGGACACAGCTCCTACATTTCATTAGCCAGCTCATAGAAAAGGTCCTCTATATATTGGTAACGAATCAAATATATCTTTCCTGCCTCTTCTCGTCTGACTTCTGATTTCTATCTGACTGGGAACAATCGAATTTAGAAGGTGCTACTGGTATCTAGTTGTAAAACTAGAATATCCGTTGCATCATCATCCTGATTAGCTGAAAATACTTAAATGTATTTGAGTGTGTCATTATTCGTCGACTGGCCTCAGATGACGCACAATTTGAGGAGGAACTCCAGAGGATACGACTATGTCTCGGATAGATAGATGGTTATTCATCCGTGAGAAGTGGCCCATCATGAAGTCAAGCAGATCTTTTACGGCGTTTTTAACTCAAATGCCATCAGGATGTGATCACTGCAACGAAAAAGAATCCAATTAATAAAACCAAGTTATTTCCTCAGTGTCGATAAGTTTAAAAGGTGTTAAGTCCGAGAGCTACATTTCATAATTTGCAGGTAGAATTCAAAGAATATTCTCTGCCCTGCTTTAGGTTGAAAAATGTGAAGATGTGCTACGATTTCTTGCATAATGGATATGACGGCATTCCTTTACATTACTTGACACAGAAATTTTGACCAATTTAGTCTGGTCGACGTTTCGCAAGTTTTCCATAAGGTGCATATAGTGGACTTTGTCAGTGCACGATCTGATAATCAAGTGCAAGAAAGGAGGTAGGATATCATATATTAAGAACCACTTTCGTGTACAATCGAGTACATCAGCGACACATGACAGTGAGAAATGTGAGGTAGCTTGCTATACAATTAAATATTGACATGGGTTAGTGACTACTGTAGAAACACACCGCAGTCGACGCTGTCATGGTTACAGCTTTGTCACATATGTACTTTAAGTGAGGTTGGTAATTATTACATCGTCGGCGATTTTAACGCGTCACACAGAAATTGCGGATGCTTGACAACTTCAAGAACATGTCTTGACTGCAGCGTTCTCTCAAATACTATTCAATGCTGTGTTGCACAGTATATTGTAAAACCGGAAAGATGACCATGGACATTAACAATCATTGCTGGGCTACACCGTTACAAACTGATGAGGTGATGTTACTGACATTGAGCACAAGCAAACAGTTGTCACAGTGTATGGTGCTTTAGGTTTCGGAGGCATAACACAGAGTATGTAACTGCTCCACACCGTTGCAATATGTCTAGCTAACATTCCAACAATCAGAGCTTGTGCTATCTCTAAATATTGGTTGATCAATGTGGATGGGTCGGACGAAAACGAATGAGTCTTATTTAGACCCAGAACTTTGTTCGAAATTTAATGTATCACATTCTCTCCATGGATCGATAGGGAAACTCAAAAGCGGCTGGGGTTTGAGGGCTACTTCTAGGAAATTTTCCCGTCAATGGACCACGGAGTGTTTACCGGTGAGTAGCAGGAAATCCGGAATATACGCAACATGCCCATAGTTAAAAGCCGCTCCAAATATGAAAAAAAGTTAGCTGACATTAGATGCATCTGCCCAATTATACTGCTTTCGTATATTAAATGAAGGATTGAACGTGCTGGTAAGGTTTCTCCATTATTACTGAACGAAAATTAAGATATCCTAGGTGAATCAGATCTGTACAAAGCTTGGACTTCATCAGTCTATCCAAGTACATATGACTGAGAAGGCTGTCCTTCAACTGCTCACTAACCTCGGACATAGTAAGTCACCAGGTTCTTATAGCTTACATTCACGGCAGCTGAAATCCCTCACGAATACTATTACAAGTCAACTCACAATACATTTCGAACAATCTCAACTCACGATGTTGTTTGACATGTCCATTTCAAAAACTCAACTTTCTGCTGATTGGAGGGAGGCTAAAGCTAGCATTCTTGAGGTTCAACTGTCAGTATGATATTCATGGATTTTAGCAAAACAATTGACAAGGCTTCTATCTGAATAACTATGCATAAGTTCTTATGCTCTAGAATAACACGTGCAGTACAAAAGTGAATAAGGAACCTTTTCTGTGACCAAAGACAAACATCGGGGGTAAATAGAGGTCTACTTGGATGAAAGACGGTCAAAAGCTTTGTACCCCAACTCACCATCTTAGGCCTCTTATGTTTTCTCCTCCGTCAGTGAGCTACCGAGAATGCTCAAGCCGTCGACAATGTTCACAGACGATGTTAAAATCTGGTGAACAGTAAGTGGTAAGGATGGTCATCCTGACCTTCAGGCTGTTCTAGACGAGTTAGTTCGATGGTGCGAAAGTTACGGCTTGAAAATTAATTTTGGAAAGAGGATGTCAATACACACCAGACACGTCTATAGTTTCTAGTGTACTATTGTTGTGAACAGAACACTGGTTGGGGACAATCGAATGTATTTAAGCAAACATTACAGACTATCTCAGTAAATTCTGATTATCAAACAATGAACAGTCAATTCGCAAATTAGCAACCAATTGTTTCAATCTTCACTGTTTCTTCTCTTATTACATTGCTCATGTATTTTCCAAACGATTGCGCTTCATTTCAGTTCTTTCCTCAACGGTCTTCTGCCAAAACACATTCTGTGTCTGACCCACACCATATACTACTTATATGGATATAAGTAGACCTCACCACACTATCAACGGTACATCGCTCTCACGCGTGCAGGAACGAAAAGACTCGAGGGTTGCAGTGTGTCATGAATTGGAAACAACTATACACTAGAACGCAGCTCTTGCCATACGTTCTTGGGTGCTG